GGATACTGAGGCCCACTTGTGCCCTGTGATCACCAGACTGCTTTATGCAAAGGGCACCCCAAAAATCAAACCTCAAACCCAATTATTTGTGTTTGCAAAGTTGGAAATGCTCATAAGGAAACAGTTTATTTCCCTTTCATGGTAACAGACACTGAAGAACACCCCATACATGCACTTCAGTCAGAAATGAATGCTGACTCTGACAATGCCTCTGTGTACTGGAAGCACACAAGCCAGGTGCCCAAAGCAAGGCAAAACGGAGGATGATACACTGGAAAACCTTGTAGGATTATTTGTATTAGTATTTCCAAGTGTGGAGGAGAAAACTCTGTTGGAGAATGGACTTGACTGTGCTGACACAAACTTACCCCAGACTTACCAACACATTTCTTCCTTGTAAGAACCTAAAACACCAAAAATCACTTGAGAGTAACATCAAACAGAGAAATCAAGGCTCTTGCTAGCTGCAATGGGGCACTAGGGAAGTGCAACACTGAATCCCAGAGAGCTCAGACAGCACTTTGGGCTGCTTCTTAACATAGTTTTAGGGAAAACTATTTTCAGAAGTGGAAGTACTACAGAAAAGGCTGGCTAACTGCAATCAGTTCAACGGGCAGTCTGTGTGTATCCCATCACTGCTGTGTGTGGCACACACAGCAAGACCCAGACATACAGCAGAGGTTCTTCCAGGACATACCACTTAATCTGTAAACTGGTTGGCTGTGATATTGCTTTAACCCTTGTCCATTCAGTCCTTTCTGAGAGACCAGCCATCCTTGTGTGGGTTTCCTGATCCTCTTAGATAACACTACCCAATCCTCGTTCTTTTGGGCTGTCCTTACACGCTTTTTCCCAAGTCGATGCCCATCTGATATCTGGACTGAAAGCTGTTTCTTGCAAGGAGCTGAATGTCTTCTTCTGGGTACTGACTGCTGGCTGTTACCAGTGAAGCAGGATATGGCTGGCACTGCCATCTCACTGGACAGGCACCACCTCTTTTTGCAAGTTTGTTCTGTGCATGTTGGATATTCTTTTTATTTCCAAATAAGTAGTGCTTCTACCTACAGGATCAAGACTAAAATGAAAATGCTTGCTGCTCACTCTGAGAGAATAAAAGCAGCAAGATAATCTGGTGAGCTGGTTCCTGCTGCTTCTTTGTTAGAGGCACCTACAGTTTTCCAGAGAGTGACTGAATACACCTGCAGAGCCCTCTTTGATACTTGCCTGAAAGCCACACTAGGGTCTAGTGCACGGTTCCATAAGTAAGTTAATTGAAGGTGATTAAAATAGAACGGTACTTGTTGTAGTACTAAGTTCTTTACTAGAGGAAAGATGACAATGCTCCTTGAATTTCTGGAGTTTCCTTATAAGGCAAAGGTAGCATTCAGAATAGTTACTTATACTAACTTGACATTTTGTTAATAAGTTTTCTGAAGTGAAGGGTGTAAGAGAATTTTTTCAACTCTGAAACTCACTGGAAACATTCAAGAGTTTTGAGGGTATCAATTCCATCAGAGTTGCTTTGAAATCTTCAGGACCTTGCGATCCAAGAATCTTTACAGAAGAAATGTGAAGCATCAGTACAATCTGATCTATATGGAGACAGTTTCTGCCAAATAATCAATTAATTTTAAAACATGGTTAGAAGTGTAGCACTGCCCCTTGCCTCCAGAACTCATGTATACATCACCTACAATGCCTGGAGAGTTTCAAAATCAGTTCAGCCAAACAGGTTTTAGATGAGTTAGCATGATGAGGAGCTCTTCCAGCCCAGAGCTGGCCTTAGCTCCTGTGTCAGTGACTGAGAGGCAAGACTGAAGCGCTGCACCCTGGGGGTGAACAGGGAGCTGTCCTGAGCCTTTCCACAAGGGGTGAGAAGCAAGATAAGCAAGGGAGAATTTTGTTTCAACCAGCATGAGTTAAAGAACTTGATTTTGCCTTGAACTGTGACAATGGACATGAAAACCTGTGTTTATTTGTGTTCTCACCTCTAGAGTAATTAGCCCAAAACATACTGGCAAAACAGCTGGACTTAAAAAAGAGCTAAGGATTAATTTGGAGGAACAAGCTATGTATTGGGGACAAAGGGGGAAAAAAAGTCCTCTAAATGTGAACAATTATGCTGTCAAAAGGTTTAATGAGAAAAATGCATATAAACACATATAGATGTAATAAGTAAATGAGGGTCAGTAGCATACAGGACAGATTTATAAACTGTGTATTTACTCCTGACAAAGACCAGTCCTCTGGGGTTAAAAGAGCTTAAGATGACTGCTTGGTTGTCTTAAACCACAAACTCTGTAGTACCTTGACAGAAGATGAACAGACCTTTATAAACTGATATTCAGAGCCCCTTGGTTATGTGATCTGACTGAATGTAAGTTCAAAGACCTGTCTGAAGCCCCCAGAGCACTGCCGGCCCACATAACTGTGAATGTCAGAAGAGAGCACCTTTCCCAAACATGCTGCTGCTTTACCTCTAGCTATTTATTCCACACTAGAAGCCTGGAGAAATTAAATCATCCCTCAACTCCCTCTCTAAGTCAGACTCCAAAGCTGCTTTGACCTTTATGACCTATATTTAGTATATCTGAATAATAATATATTATGTACTCGTTGAAGGTCAGACACTCTATACCTGTGATATTGGGCTCACACCATGCTGTAACTATTTTAACTATATTACATCTGTCTAGCTTTTATTGGGTTTTAATTAAATGAAATTAAATGAGCGTATATTTAGATTGAGATAGTATAAACTGACATTTATGCAGATATGCCAGGCTGGCTGTAAGATATGATCTTAATGGAGCAGAGACTTTGCAAACTATTAAACTCTCCCGTATAATGAGGGATCTATTTAAATACTCTTTTATTTGAAAAACAACTTGGGTCCAATACGGTGTAGTGCTGGAGAACTCAATTAGCACCTTGCAGAATGGATCAGAGACTGCTCAACCCATCACATTGCCCACAGAGGGTGGCTGCAGTCAGGTAAGTGGGACTCAGGCACTTCAAAGCACAGGCCCTCTTTATATCAACTACCAACACAAGAAGAAGCCACAAATGCAAGTAGGGGTTTAACCTCTGGCCCGAGAGAAGTGGTAAACTTCCTGCTCCCCACTCATACCAGAGGTGGAGCAGAGCCTTGTGGTGAATCTTGGCATTCTAGTGTAAGGTCCGTGGAAATAAAACTATGCTCATATTTGGGAGTCTCTTGCATTGAACTGTGGAAGCCTCCCTTACTACATTAAAGAGCTAATCAATTTCTTTTGCAAGTGTGAGTGTGTGTGCTGCTCATTGATTTCTAAAAGGTTCCCTTGACACCTCCCTTGGTAATTACTGTCTTCAGCAAGCAGCCAGCTTCAGTGTTTGAATCCCAGGCGAAATACTCAATTGAGATGTTGCTCAAGAACAGCGAATAGGAAGCAAAACTTGGACACAGTGACAGGTTTTATCAGTTTGTTTTTAAACTTTCTATCTCACTAAACTTGTGAAGCAGCTGGTAGAGAGGCAGCCAAGTACCTGCGAAAAGGAGGCTGAAGAATGTACAACAAGTGCATCAGGAGCAGCCTTGCTGCTCATTTATGGTAATTTCTGATGCTGATTTAGTCAGCTGTGAAGTGAAACACATCCATGTGCACTTCCCTATTGCTGCTTCCTAAAGCTTCTCAGAATAATTAACAAGTGTGATATTTTCTTTCAGCACAAACAGATCAAGATTAAACCATATTGTGGGAGAGATAAGCTAAAGGTCACTAGGAAATTTCATAAGCTATAAATGCATTAGTATAATTAGCACTCACTGGTACATCAAGGTGGGATCGGGAGTGTCAGGCTGGGTTCTATTTTTGATGAGAGTGATGTCTCATTACCCACTCCCCCAGGTACAAGCCTACTTCTTATCATCCAAGCATCATCAGATTTACGCAGAGGGCTCCTGCTATGGGGAAATGTGTCAAGATATTCACCTTGCTAGGAGGAAGATGGTGTTGCCCTGGCAGCAGAACTCATAACAAAAGGCTTTTCAGTGCCCAGAGATCCATTGGCCAGGCAAGGCAGTCTGTTTCTTATTTAAGTGTGAGACCTTTCCAGACCAAAGCTCTGTACCCTTCTGTAGTTTGTGTAGGATACTGTGAGCCTTTTTTCCCCAGACTAAAGCTGCTGGGAGTTGTTAAATAGTAAAAGCAATTCATGTTGGGAACCTGCACTTCATCAGTGAATAAAGCAATGCTTTAATTTCTTTAATTCTCTAACGTGCCTTACAGTCCTGGGAGACTGAACAATGCAGTAGAAAAACAAGAGTTTCTTGCTAAAATGGTGGCATTCTTAGCCACCCACAAGAACAAACCATCTGTATTTCAAAAACTAGTATTTGGCTTACCAATAAAATCAAAAGGAAATTGTGTATTTTTAAAACTGAGTCCACTCTCCTTTGAAATCCACAGAACTGAAGCTTCTTAGATTTTTCTTTATTATTGTGGTATCTCACATCAAGAATGATAAAGATCTCAACAGAAAGCAGAGCATGATCTTGCAGAGTCTACGCAAGGAGTGAAGTAGTACATGACTGATGACTGTAAAATCTCAACCAATATCTCACTGTCCTAATTTCCACCTGTGCTTCTATTAAAACCATCTGAGACCTGTTGAGTTGGTAGTGAAATGTCTGAGCCTACCAAGGATATGGGACAATGTCCAGATGGTCTACTGATAAAGGAATCCGGGTGATGTTCCGAAAGGCATGTCCACTTGCCCCAGGCTGATGAAGGCAAGCACAGGAGACACCACTCTGCTGTCTCCTTTTAACAAGACATGATATCCTGCCAGAGAGGATTAGCTCCAAAAACTGTTTTTATATTGTATAAGAAACAAGCTCAAAAACAAACTGACATTTGGCTTTGGAATTGCATTTCAGGGAAAAAATAACAGCAGCAAGGAAAGAGAAAAGGCAGGAAGAGTGAAGAAGCAGGGAAGGCTTACTTGCATTGTTACCTTACCCGAGCGGAGCTGCTTGATTCGCCCATTGCTTGTTGCAGTGTCTACAGGCAGGAAGTCCTTGAACCAGGAGATTTCAGGATCAGGGTTACCACTGGCAGCACAGAGCATTGTGGCTGTGCGGGCCTTTTCCACCACCTTCAGCTGTGGGCCCATGTCAATGGTTGGGAAGCCAGCTGGGAGGTGGTCTTCTGCAAGAAATGAAAACATACAAGGTTAAAGAGAAATGTTTGGGCGTAGTGATGGGATATGGTTGTAGTGACAGCAGTGCCGTAGCACAGCATCTGTGCCTCTGCTGGAAAACAGCAGTCTGACTTCCCTACAGAGAAGGTTTTCAAGCCCTTAAAGCACATTAGGCTCTATAATGAGCATTCATTACACCAATAGAAGCTTCCACTAAATTTAACTCTGTTTAAATCAATTGCCTTGGGAAACGTCCGTAATTCTCATTGATACGTAAGCTCCATCTATTGTTGTTAATAATTCAGTAAAAGCAGGTATTTGCCTTTTTGTGGGAGGCCTGAGTTGAAGATAACAGACAAACACAAAGCCAAATAGTTTGAGGCATCTTGAAAAACAACAGCTAAACCATAAAATCCCTTAGAGTGGTCCAGAGAGACCCATTTTATCTTTTTCTGACTAGGAACATTCTGTCACACTGGTAGGATAGACTGTAAATCTCTTCCTCATGCCCCAAAATCTGATTCAGAAGGCTTTTAAGAACTAATGAATGTAAAGCTAATGAGCCACACTCTGCTCATGAGCTGCATTGCAAGACTGTGCTGTGACAAGCTCCTGGTGCATTTTCTGGGCTGCAGAGAGCAACAGAGGTGTGCGAGGAATGGCCAGTGCATGCTCTGGCATGTCTTACTGAAGTACTATAAAATGAAGCACCCCCATAACTGCTAAAACCATTCATACAGCAGGTACAAAAACAGTTAATCAGGTTTGCTGCTGCAGAGCACGCTCAGGTAGACTGTGTGGAATACATTAGGCAGCCTTCACTGATAAGCCAAGGCATGCTCCAACATCGTCATTCAATAGCAGCTGCAGAACAGAGCTCATTTACTTATTCTATGGCAAGATGTACTGTACTCTGCTAAGCCTGAACTGCAATCAAAAGGACATACTTTTGCAGAAAAAAAGAACTTGAAGAACATTAAGAAGCTTTTAAAGCACCAGAAACTCAATTATTTTCAGTATGTTTCTTTTTTCCCGTTTTAAGAGAACTGAGGCAAACCTTTTTCTCTGACAAATCTAATTCTGCAAGGCCCCCAGCTCACTGCAGAGTTTAAACAAACAAGACCTCAGCATCTTTCCAAGTCCCAGAGGAGTCTGAACTTGCTGCAATCTTATTTTTCCTGCTATCACCACACATCTGGAACCATACCCCTCACTCCTGACAAGGTACTAGCAAGAGGCCACCACTTCAGGTGCTTCCTTCTACCTGTATTGCCACACCTGTGGCACAAACACAGCCTGTAGTGGCTACTCTTACTATTTCTCCCTACAATCTCAGGAGAATTCCCAAGACCCTTGTTTGCAAATCCAGACACTGTAGCAGAAGGCAACATCTGCTGTAAACAAAATAATGTTACGGAATATTTTTTTTTTCTGTTGAAAATGAGAGTGACTGAAGCATGCAAGGTTTTCTAAAAGAGAAAATGGTTCCTGATGCTTATTAAAAGCACAAACCATATTTTGCCTCCCAGACTAGCATCCCTAGAAACCCCTCTCACAATGAGCAAACATAAATGGATTTTTTTTTTTAAATGAAAGGTACCACAAAAACTAGCCCTTTTAAAATTTGCTATCCATCGATTTTCAAAGACAAAAGGTACACAGAGCTTAACTGGAATGACACCAGAGCTACCATTCAATAACAAGCACAGAAGCACTCAATACTGAGCAACCGCAGCACATACTCCTACGTAGCTGAAAAGAAACAAAAGGGTACACACAGAAGTACTCCATTGTATAGATGGAAAAGCAACGGAAGATACGTAAGAGAAACAGTAAACAATGACATTACCTTGGACTGAGGCCAACTTGGCCTAAAGTGCAGCACCTTGCTATTTACAGTATTGAAAACAGATGTTTACTCTGGGGACGATGAAACCCTGAAGTGATCTAATCACCATGATTACCCCTGACAATCTTTTCTGGTTTGTTCAAGATTTTACAAAGAATGTAAGTAAGTACACCTAAGTATCACCTAATTAACTTTGTCCAAAGTCTGCGTGCAGGCATTTGTGCAATCTCTTGCCATGTGCAATGATCCTTTGCCCATAGAAGTGAGAGAGATCAGAAAATCCTTCACAGCATCTGATCCATGGATACACGACCAGCCTGCTGTACCGGAGGTGACTGCTCAATCAAAACCAGCAGTTTGTGATGAGCCACAGACCAGTAGAAATTAAATGATCTATACTTGACTTCACTGGATACAACAAAGAGATGCTGATTATAAAGACCCAGCAGCAAAGCTATTTCCTCCATACTAGAAATCTTAGATCAAACCTTTTCTGGACTCCAAAGAGAGGTACAGCACTGCTCCCATACCATGCCCCTCTGCAAGCTCAAGCCATTACAGAGCCCAGATGAGAATGCTAGGCACTTAAAAGTCATGTGATGACCCTCAGCCCCCAGACATTGTGTTGAGCCTGACACAGACAGGCATGGGCTCACTTGGCACATAGTCTTTTCGTTCTTATAACTGCACACAACCCCAAAACTATAGTGGCAAATGACTGTAGTAGAGAATCACAGACCTATTCAGGTTGGAAAAGACCGTTGGGATCAGAGTCCAATCATCATCCCTACTCCACAAAGTTCTCCCCTAAACCATACCCACCAACACCACATCCAAACAACCCTTAAACACATCCAGGGATGGTGACTCAACCACCTCCCTGGGCAGCCCATTCCAGTGTCTAACCACTCTTCCTGTGAAAATTTTTTTTCCTAATGTTCAGTCTAAACCTCCCCTGTTGCAGCTTGAAGCCATTCCCTCTTGTTCTGTTGCTAATTACCTGTGAAAAGAGACCAGCACCAACCTCTCTACAATGACCTTTCAGGTAGTTGTAGAGACTGATGAGGTCTCCCCTCAGCCTCCTCTTTCTCAAACTAAACATTCCCAGCTTCTTCAAGCATTCTTAGTAAGATTTATTCTCTAGGCCCTTCACCAGCTTCATTGCCCTCCTCTCCACTCACTCCAGCACTTCAATATCTCTCTTGAATTGAGGTGCCCAAAACTGGATGCAATACTCCAGGTGTGGCCTCATCAGTACAGGGGGACAATCACCTCTCTACTTCTGCTGGTCACACTATTTCTAATACAAGCCAGGATGCCACTGGCTTTCTTGGCCACCTGGGCACACTGCTGGCTCATACTCTGCCGCTTGTCAATTAGAACCCCCAAGTCCTTTTCCGCCAAACACTTTCCAGCCACACTTCCCCAAGCCTAGAGCGTTGCCTGGGGTTGTTGTGGCCCAAGTGCAGGACCCAGCACTTGGCCTTGTTGAAGCCCAGACCATTAACATGAGCCCAAC